AGAGAGAGAGAGAGAGAATTGGCCGGGTCTAATCCTCCAGGACGGAGGACTCAATTTATAAACGTGCCCAGTATTACCACTCAAAGGCTTAAAACACTCGACACCGAGCAGACGTCGTGATGCCTCGCGCGGACGAACACATGGCATTTCACACTGCAATTGCCACGAATGCCTGCCCGCACAGGGTGCGCGTTAGTCGGGGATAAGCGCGAGAAACTCGAGTGCTATTCAACCCTGGTTGGCTGCCCTAGGAAAGCTCTCCTTTCTTTTCACGGGGACCTGTTTTCCAGAGGAGGGTCTTCCTCGCCACTTCACAAGCTGTCCGCTTTCCGTTTCGAGACCGTTCCGTGACGCAATACCCACGCCTCGTCGCTTATTCTTCTCCCTCCCCTCTGTCTTTTGATCCTCCTCGCCTTGAACTCTATCCTCCTTTGGTGTCGGATATGCGGAAAGACGGTTGCGCGCAAGACGGTGTAGGTAGATAGATGTTCGAGGTAAACGCGAGAGTGTGCGATTCAAAAGCGGTTTAAAAGCTTCGAAGGGCGACTTGGGTATCGCGTGACAACAGGTAAGGAGGGGGAGAATCGAGGAGCAGGATTCTCTGGAGTATTCAGCGGCTACCGGTTTACGAGTCGTCTCTTCTTCTGCGATGTTTCTATTTTGCCGAGGAACAGAAACAGACTGTCTGTGGAGCTAGATCCACGCGTGTTTACGATATACGTGCTATGTATACGAGAATTGTTATGTGGTGAGGAAGGCTGTAGTGTTTTTTTTCTTGGAGAAACTTCCAATCGAGAATTCGTTATTGATTGTTCGTGTCTCGCGAGAGAGCGCGAAATTTTGTCGATACTCTTGGGAGGGTGGATTCTATTAGGGTTGGTGGAGCTCGATGGCAGCGAAAGTAGACGGAAAATGTAGTTTTCTTGTACAGTTGAAGGGAAAAACAGGAGATATTTGGAGGTATTATTGATTTTAGTTAGATGATTTAACAGTTTCGTTATAATTAATAATTATAAAAATTATAACGTTATCATAAAATTTGTGTGAAATAGAATTATTGGGATGTTATAAAATTTCATTAAAAACAGAATGTAAGATTTTATTTTTAATGAAAATTTTTAATATATAGAATATAATAGATTATTTTAACGAAGTATCATTTTATGAGAATTTTTAAAATTTCGATATTCTTTTTAATATATAAGTTTTAATATAACTTATCATTCTGTTCTAAAATATTGACATACGAAATTGCATTTAAAATACGAAAGAATGAAATCTCGAAAGTTAATTTTCCTTTGAAAGGAATTTTCCAAAAAAATTACTCCAATATATAATTCATTACAAATTACAAAGTTTTATTAAAATCTTTCAATTAGCAAAATTTCCTTTCTAAGACATATATATATGAGAATTTTCAGAGTGACGATACATTCTTTACATTTTTACCAAGCAATCGAAGAAACGAATGGCACGAACCCAGATCAAAATCCACCCTCCAACATTCCAATTATCTCGGAACAGAATTTTTCACGTCAGGTTATCCATCTCTACCAGACGTATCACCATTAATAATTAAAGATCCTCGGTTATCGGGCAAAATTGGTTGCCAGGAACAGAGAAAGACACGAAATTCGAGGGGGCAAACCAATGGGAAAGACAGAGAGGAGAAAGGAGTTGGAATTACAGTCGGGTGGTTTCTCGATCGAGGAAGGCGCCACGAGGAAATTTCGCGTGCGGGAAAGTGCGCGGTGGAATATTTAAATGGCAAGGGTTGCCAACCGGCATCTAAGTGGCACTCTCGCCACTCCTAACCGTCTTTTACGCTTTCCGGTGGTAACAACGGAACCGCCGACCCACGTCGATGTCGTTTCCGCCCTCG